TGTACGCTTAGTAGGAAGCACGACCGGCGACACGAGCGTAGGAAGGAAGCTTAAGGTTGAAGATCTGACGAAAGAGCTGATGCGCGTTCGACTCGAAGAAGAGCGTGACGCTCAGTAATAAGATTTGACGAACATTAGGAGCTGATGCTTGGAGGAGATCCTCCGATATTCTTAATTTAACGAATCTAATCTGCGTATGGTCCGATGTTGTAACTCTGATGGTAACGACCGACCGACCGTCGTAACTCTTGAGGGTTAAATTATCAGGCTGATGGTCTGTTTGGAGAGCTGAGCGTTCGGAATCCTGAACTTTAACCAATCTATAGTCCGATTAATTCTTAGTTTTTAGCTACCATCATGGTAGCGAATAAGGCTGTAGTCACAACGGAAGAAGGCTGTAGTCACAACGGAGGAAACCATGGACTCGGAGAACCAAGACTAACTTGAGTCACAACAGGAAATTACGCTACCTAGGGAATGTCGAGAAACTCGTGAAGGGCTCATGGAGGACTAGGTGAGAGGGGATGGCAAATCCGTAAGGGAGAGAGGGAAGGGGAGGGAAGTGAAGGGAGGTTGGAGGGTTAGGGGTGGGTTGAGAGGATTTCAGAAAGGTCTGTGGTGGAATGCACGAGAGACGGCGAAAGGGAAGCGACGGCAGTGACGAGCAGAGTCGCTCGCCATGCCACTGCAAGCCGAGGGGGAAGCCGTAGTGAAGTGAATGGGCAGGCTCCGCTGACAGGCGGGAGGCGGGAAACATTCGGCCAATAAAAGTGAAGGAAAGCGGGAACAGTGTTGCGCTGGAGCGCGCGCCGTCGGAAACAGTGTTGGGCTGCGCGCGCTGTGCGACCGTTCGCGGGAAAGGGTAGCCATGTGCGAAACATCAGATTGAAAGCGAGAAGTGTCTTGACCAGAATGCTAGGGCCTCGGGGCTGAGCAGAGTGATGTGGGGCTTTTGGCTAAGTGGCATGGACGAAATTACGGCTGGCTGTTTTGGCAAAGCATGTTGTGGATGGTATGGTCTGTTTGCACCAATCAGGTGATGCTACGGATGGATGGCTCGAGCCGCCATCAACATCCATCTCATTCGTGTCAGACCCTGGTTTCAAAATTTTCCTTTCTGCTCATAACATCAACCATTCAGGCGGCGGGGGCGGACATCCCCGTTTTGAGTGTTCGTCTGGGGATGGTCTGTACATAACCCACGAACTTTATACACAGTAGGGTGCAGATAATGCAAGTTTGCAGTTTAGAAAAAGAAAACAGGACGCTGACTTCAAATGGAATGGAATCTTAACAATAACATTGCTAGCAATACATTCTCTAGGGCATGCAAATGCGCACAGTTCCCAATATATTAATAATAGTTTATAATGATGGGAGACAATCCTCATCCTAGCCGAAGTGGTGCGTGGATATCACACCGAAAACGGTATGATATTTTTCACCAACACGTTATATCAGAAGATCGGAATGTTACTGTCAATGCAAGTCAGTTGCACTGTCAGTATAAATACAGGCCTTGTGATGTCAGTTCTGTCATGTCATCCAGGAGCCCTGTGGGCTGTCCCTCCTGTTCAGCTGCAAACTGCTGCATTCTTAACTCCTTTCTTTGGTATAACCCATTGCATGTGCATTGGCCTCTCTGGCCTTCTCCACACTCCACTCCAGAAAAACCTCTGGCCCCACCTCTCCAAGCCCGTCCTCATCCCCTTCCAAGCCCATAATTCCATTCATTTCTGTTTTACCAGCTCCACCATACCATCCCTTCTCCATCATCTCAATCATTCTGCCCGCCTGCTCTGCCCCTACACCAGTACTGTTTCCACTAGCAACCCCCTTTCCCACTACTCTCGCCTCCCCTGTGCTCTCTGTGTCCTTCACCAATGCCTTACTCCTCTCAAGTACCACCATGCATTCCTCTCCTTCTACCACCTCTGCCACCGCCTCGGCCACAACACTGCGGATTTCGGCCATCACGTTTCGGCGTGGACCCATCTTATCCTGTAATGGGGCGAATGGTAGAGCATCCTTCCCGTTCGCCTTGGCCATTCTCATCTTGAGCCGCAGAGCAGCACCCTCCATGCCAGACCGTTTCACCTCCCGTTTCTGCAGGTCTAGGTAGTTCCTGAGAGCTCTCTTTGAAAACTCCAACCGTTTCTCGTCCTTCACACGGTGGAGTGACTCCTGCTCGTTTATTCTTCCCCCTTTCTGCTCACTATCCCCCCCCTGCTGCTCCTTCTCCTGTTCCTGCTGCTGCAGTCTCTGGTCGTGTTGCTTCTGCGTGAAGCCCTGCAGCCGCAGCAGCAAGGCCGCGCGGACCAGACCATGAAATCCCGAGCGAACAGCAAGGGCTCCCGCAGCGACAGTGATAGCGACTCCGAGGCCAATCAACGGCAGAGATTGCTGCACCTCACCCTCTCTTCCAGGAACAAACGCCTGTGTCACTGACGCCACCACGCCCTGTTTTGGGCCTGTTCCGTCAATCCCTGCGTGGGAACCCACAGAGCCTTTCCTCCATCCGTCAAGGTGCATGGTCCGAGTGAGATGCTTTCTTGCAGCGAAGAAGTTCGCGAAACCGCTCAGCTCGTCGGCGAAACGCCGCTTTTCGTACTCGGTGGCAGCAGACGTGGAAGAGGCAGAGTCAGCAACAGAAGCAGCGTCAGAGTGAGCATCAGGAGCGTCGGCAGCATGAATAGAGCCAGCAGCAGGAGCATCAGCAACAGCAGCAGCAGGAGCAGCAGGGGCGGATGTTACCAGCAGAGCAGGCGAGACCCCCTCACAAGGAGGGGCGGCCGATACATTGACACGCGTATCAGGACTCGCACTGACAGCACCGGTGGAATTCTTTAGCCATCCCCTCACCCGCATCCTCATTCCCGTTGTTCTGCCAGTGGGAGCTTCCCGGCAGCTAGTGATACACACACGTCCCGCGGAAGCTGCAGCAGCAGCCGCGCTAGCCCCCCTTGCGTCACTGAAGCCGCTGCTGCTGCTGCTGCTGCTGCTGCTGCTGCTGGTGGTCCCAGTGGAAAGGGCTGTTCCGTCAGCCATGGTACCGCTGCTGTCCGTGCACAAACGAACGCATTCTTGCGAGCCGGATGGGAAGGTGGACTGCCTGGAGCTTGTGCCATGGTTCTCTCGAATGTGCAGAGACACGTGTTGGGAACGCCCTGACTGCGACGCCTGCGACTGCGACGATGATTGTGCCTGCGACTGCGACGATGCGACGGAAGGTGAGGCGACCGGAGCGTTCTTCACTTCCTGCGACGGTACCTTCCGCTCCTTTCGTGCCGAGGACGACGGGAGATAAAGCACCTCACCGACGCGAATGCTCGGCGAGGACTTGCCGTTAGCCGCGAGAAGAGCGTCCACAGGAATGGAGTAGCTGGATGCGATAGAAGAAACGGTTTCTCCGGCGGACACGGAGTGGATTCGCACTGAGACCATTATTTTCTCGCCATGAGATGAAGCGCTGTTCGTGCGGAGGTTACTTTCACCGCGAACTCCGTTATCGAATGTGACGTTGTCGACGTCATTCTCGTGTTTTACAACGGCCGGACCGCGTGCTGCTCGTCCGTGGTCGTGACTGCTAGACAAATGCCCGTAGTGATGCTCCTGGGAAAGGCAGAGAGGGACGGAATAAAGGCAGAAACAAGTTCAGGAATTCAAGCTCTTCTCACAGAGAAGTACACATGTATAAGAAACATTTACGTCAAATCGACGCCATGGCATGGAGAAATTTACACCAGATTTCGGAAAAAAATAACTTCAGTAAGCAGCAGAAAAGCTATTTAAGTTTATGACCTTTTGTGGAATAGGGGCCCGAGTAGTTGCAGAAGAAACTTTCGCCTGAAATTGAGACGCTCCTCGATTATTTCGCAAGCCTACCAGGCTGAGACGAGGCGAATCCAACAAAGGCACTTCGGACAGAAGCCGAAGCCCCCTTGCGGAGGAACGATAACAGGGAGCATCATGGTCACCCTAAATATGAGGATTTCGGCACTGACAAGCAACAGGGAATAAGTAGAGTGCACATTTGACGTAGCTAGTCTGGTGGAGAGATTAGACGGCAAATAACTGGCGGGTTCTAGAAAAGAGCAAATCTCAAGAAATCTGGAGCTCTCTGGATAGGGGGAAACGGATGAGGGGGAAGAGCGCGGTAAGAAGGGACGAGGGGAAAAAGGGGGAGGGAGCGGATGAATGCGGAGCAGATTAGGGGAAGGAACGAAGTCCAGCTGGCTGCTCGGGGGGAAGGAGACACTAGTGTCGGGGGCATTGAGGGGACGTGTGTGAGGTGTGGGAGAGGCTGGGGAAATTTTGCAGGGTGGAGGGAAGTGAGCGGGGAAGGTTGCTGTGAGATGTGGCTAGAACGCGCTTGACGGAGCAGGATTCAGCTGGATGGCATGCTCCGCCTTTCGAGAGGAAAAAACGCGGGGGCAGGCGGAGATGCTCAGCCCCTTGGTAGGCAACCCAAATTCCTTTCTGTTTTCGCCCTACCTGACCTGATCACTGGCCTTGGTTTTACCCAATGAGTGGGCAAGCCAAACCTGACCTGAGGATTATAAATTACCATAAAATGATAGTTCTTTTGTGCCTATACAGCATGTGAGTGCTCTACACGGCGTCTGATATGCATAACCTGAACTTTTGCCTTAGCTCCCTTTACTAGTTGGGGTTAAATAAAATTTACATCGCTCCACGAAGCAGATTCAATGTAGGGTCCGACCAACCCGAGGCTGCGATGGGTTGGCACGGGGGTCAATCACGTGAATCTCATTGCGCACAATAGTCCAGGTCCAGGCGCAACCCCCCCTCCTTCCGCCCCCCCCCGCTTTATACAATCCACGTTCCCCTCGCAAATTCATGTCCAGGCACACAACTCTACAATATTCCACAGCTGGCCTCTGTTCCCTCACCTCCAGAAGCTGGCAAATTCACGAGATATCCATTTCATGTTGCTCAGGTTACCACTCTTGTGTTACGAGATAGACTGTTCGTAGGCAATGGAGTCCTCCACGTTACAGCTGTTGGATAGCACCGACGCCGTCGTGCGGCTGCGCCACGTGCTCGCCACGCAGCTGCAGCATGGCTGGATGGACCTCGCCGCCGCTCGTTACAGTCACGCATCGTCGCCTCTGGGCGACGGAGGGCTGATGCATCTCGTCGGGTGTGCGACGGCGCACAGGACGTCGCCAGGTGACTCAAATGGAGCGAGCGACGACGGAGAGGAAAGTGGATTCGATCCTAGGCTTGTCAGAGTTTACGTTGATGGCGAAAAGCTCGCGAAAGGCGCCAGGGAAGACCAGGACGGGCAGCAGGAGCGTGAAGGAGAGTGCATCACGTGTCCTGATTTCCAGATTCGCTGGCCGTGCGCTCTTTCTTGCAACGGCGACTCATCCAGCAGCAGCAGCGCCGGCAGCAGTGGTGGCGCCGGCAACAGCAGAGGCTGCATCGGTTGCTGGATCCGCCACGAGACGGATTCCGCTCTTCCAGAACCATGTGGGGATCATCAAATTGCAACCAGCGGGAATTCTCAAGATTCCGGTCACCCAGGAACGAGATCTGCGGCGGGTGTGAGTCACGGGAAGCCGTTACCCCTTGCGGGATTGGCGCATCCCACCCTGCGATCGGCGCAGAGCAGATTCGCACTTGCGCTCGCCGTGGCTGTGGAGGTGGCGTCCTTGCAGCAACAGGTGGCTCGACTTGGGAAGCAGGTTCGATCAGGGGTCGAAGCAGTGGAGGGTGGCGCAGCGGAGGAGTGAGGGGATGGGATAAGAGACGGAATTGGATTGCAGAGAGAAGGCAGTTTTGAGAATGGAGTATGGGGAGGTGAATGGGGAATGGGAATGAGAGGAGAGTGGGGGAAGGTGGGAGTGACAAGATGGAGAATGCTGGTGAGTGGGTGGGGGTGAGGATATGGTGGGGTGGGAGGCTTAGCTAAGGTTTATATGGTTTTCAAGCTCAAGACGTCACCTCCACTCATTGGATATTATTGATTGGATATGATGTACATACAGGTCTGACTCTCTTGTGCCTTTGTTGAAACTTGTGCATTTGGTGTAGAGAAGTTGCTAAGGCAATGTAGAAAACAATTGAGTGTGCAAGTTGTTAACTCTCTTGTTGATGAATATACCTTCGTCATTTGTATAATATCGAAACGCACAATAACTCCACCTTGTTCGCGATTCGTCAGAAGCCTCCTCGACTCGACATCTCCCTTTTCCCGAAACCTGTGGGGAGGGGAACGTGATATAACGTGGCACGGATTTGCCCACAAATGTTTGACACACATTGCAATTTGCTCCACTTCTCTCCAGTCTTCTTATGGCTTGTCTCGCCTTTCCCATCAGGGCTCTCCTCTCCGCGGCAGGTCACGAAGCGCAGCCTACTTCAGAAGTGACAGTTTACAGAACACGTGGTTTCTTTGCCCCTGAATGCAATTTTTGCTCGTCCTTTCTCATCCAGCACAACTCTTGCGAACGTAGCGCTAGAAAGCAGCGACTATGGCGGCTAGTTTCCTGAAAAACGTCTGTCCGCGGCAGCTTCCCTGTTCCGAGAGCATGATTAAGGCGCACGCCCCGTTCACGATCTTATGCTTCTGCTCTGATAGCCCACGGAAACGCTGCTCTGCGGGAACGTGTAATTCAGTCCGGATTCGAAGTGGGGTGCACGTGTTAGTCAAACGGATTCCGTCAATGAGTTCGTCAGTTTCCGTCAGTCGACGGAAACTGTCTCGATCGGGACCCACTCGTGCGTCTTCCCCCAGCTCCCCGCAGTCCCCGACGCCGTCTGCTTCGGAACCGCAGGATCAGCAGGAACCAAAGGAATTGCAGCAGCAGCAGCAGCAGCAGCAGCAGAAGCCAGATGTGATTAAAAGCACAGGGGCACTGCCAGATGCGGAAGAAGGTGAGTCGGGGCGGTGAACGAGAGCGGTGTGAGGTCAGTGAGAGCGGTGTGAGGTAAGTGAAAGCGGTGTGATTGAAACAGATGCTAACAGCAATTGGATAGTTAGATGCGAGAGACGATCAGTGTGAGTTTAATAGTCTATCTCACCTTTTTAGCTCCTGACCCCCACATTCTCCCCACATGCTCCCCACGTGCTCCTCACATGCTCATGTCGACCTGTCTTTTCCCATCCATACTGTGTATATCTCCCTGCCAGCCGCCCATTTCAGCTGGCCCACTGTGCTGGCTTGTCTTTTTGCGGCTGGATTCACCCTGGGGCCGCCTCTGGACGGCATTCACTCCGTTGTGGGCCTTCAGGTGCGCCCCTCACTCTGCTCTCGCCCTCTCCCTGCGCTCCCCGTTCTCACCTTCTCCCTTCTCTCATCGTCTCCCTGTTCTCTCCCTGCTCTCTTCATCCCCCCTATTGGCCATGCTTCTGCTTTGCACCCTGCCCCAAGTCCTTTCATTGGCTAGCTTCTGCCTGTAGGTTACCTCAGTCCACGTGGCAGGTCACCCTCCTCTCTCTCGCCCTCCGCTCTCTCGCCCTGGTCAGGTGTACGACGTGAATGGGGGGCTCAGAATAGGGGGTCCGGACGGGCTGTACACGAGCGTGTGAGTCTTCCCTCTGCAGGCCAGCAGCACCGTGCCACACACACACTTACACCTAGCCTCTCTCTCACACCCATCAGGTGTACGACGTGAATGGGGGGCTCATAATAGGAGGTCCAGACGGCCTCTACACGAGTGTGTGGGTCTTCCCTCTGCTGGGAGCCATGTACGCTGTCGTTGGCGCCCTGCAGCTACTCGTCGACCAATCCGCCTTCAATTCGGGGTCTCAACGTCTGGATAGCTCTCCTGCTCTGGGAGTGTCGTCCTCTCATACTGCTGCCTCACCTCGGGAAGAGCTGCAACCAGGACCAGCATCTTCCACCTCCTCTTCCTCCTCTTCCTCCTCCTCCTCCTCCACCTCCTCCTCCTCCACCTCCTGGTTCTCCCTCGCCTCCTCCCCTCCCAGGGGCTCCTGGTTGCGCCTGCTGAGCTGCATGGGGTGAGTGACTTGCTGTAATCTGGTGTCTGTACGCGTTATAAGGTGCCTAAGTGCATTGGTTGGTACATGTGATGGTTCTCCCTCGCCTCCTCACCCCCCAGGGGCTCCTGGTTGCGCTTGCTGAGCTGCATGGGGTGAGTGACTTGCTGTGATCTGGTGTCTGTACGCGTTATAAGGTGCCGAAGAGCATTGGTTGGTACGTGTGATGGTTCTCCCTCGCCTCCTCCCCTCCCAGGAGCTCCTGGTTGCGCTTGCTGAGCTGCATGGGGTGAGTGACTTGCTGTGATCTGGTGTCTGTACGCGTTATAAGGTGCCGAAGAGCATTGGTTGGTACGTGTGATGGTTCTCCCTCGCCTCCTCCCCTCCCAGGGGCTCCTGGTTGCGCTTGCTGAGCTGCATGGGGTGAGTGACTTGCTGTGATCTGGTGTCTGTACGCGTTATAAGGTGCCGAAGAGCATTGGTTGGTACGTGTGATGGTTCTCCCTCGCCTCCTCCCCTCCCAGGAGCTCCTGGTTGCGCTTGCTGAGCTGCATGGGGTGAGTGACTTGCTGTGATCTGGTGTCTGTACGCGTTATAAGGTGCCGAAGAGCATTGGTTGGTACGTGTGATGGTTCTCCCTCGCCTCCTCCCCTCCCAGGAGCTCCTGGTTGCGCTTGCTGAGCTGCATGGGGTGAGTGACTTGCTGTGATCTGGTGTCTGTACGCGTTATAAGGTGCCGAAGAGCATTGGTTGGTACGTGTGATGGTTCTCCCTCGCCTCCTCCCCTCCCAGGGGCTCCTGGTTGCGCTTGCTGAGCTGCATGGGGTGAGTGACTTGCTGTGATTGGTGTCTGTACGCGTTATAAGGTGCCGAAGAGCATTGGTTGGTACGTGTGATGGTTCTCCCTCGCCTCCTCCCCTCCCAGGGGCTCCTGGTTGCGCCTGCTCAGCTGCAAGGGGTAAGATCTTTGCTTGTTTGTTTGTTTGCTTGTTTTTGTTTTTTGTTCCCTTCCTTCGAGTCAATAAGTTATGTTCTACCGTCATACTGCCATCCCCTCTGATCTCGCTTCTTCCTCCTCAATCGCCCTACCCCTGTGCTCATCAGCCTCCTCCACTTCAGCTCCCACCTCTTTGAGGCTCATGCCATCCCCTCTACAGTCATTGCACTGTCCATTCACCCTGCTTATCACTCCTTTCCTGGTCCCTTTCCGTCCTATATCCCCCTTCTGCACCCCTCCCCCCCTCTCAGTGTGCTCATCAGCCTCCTCCACTTCAGCTCCCAGCTCTTCAAGGGTCATGCCATCCCCTCTACAGGCATCTTCGCTATCCTCGCCCTGTGCGCCCATGCCAACTGGTTTGCCTTTGACCGCACCCTCCCTGGGTACCTCCTCGCTCTCTTTGTCGCCGTGGGTGCACCAGCCTCAGAAGTGCTCATAATGAAGTGAGTATGGGGTGGGGAGTGAAGTAAGTCTGAGCAAGATTGGTACATGCCAACTGGTTTGCCTTTGACTGCACCCTCCCTGGGTACCTCCTCGCTCTCTTTGTCGCCATCGGCGCTCCAGCCTCAGAAGTGCTTATCATGAAGTGAGTTAGAGGGAGTGGAGTGAGTATGAGCGTCGTTAAATGCAGAGTGAGAGTGCAAGGCAAGGCCTGCCTTGCCTTTGATCGCACCCTTCCAGGGTACCTCCTCGCCCTCTTTGTGGCTGTCGGTGCTCCAGCCTCAGAAGTGCTTATCATGAAGTGAGTTAGAGGGAGTATTCACACATTGTATTGAGAATAAGTGTGCTTCTAGTGAAGGTGTGAGTGTTAACTGCCAGCTGGTTTGCGTTTGCCACCTGGATAACTCCTCGCCCTCTTTGTCGCTGTCTGCACTCCAGCCTCAGCAGTGCTTTTGATGACGTGAGTTTGGGGAAGAAATTTGAGCACGAGGATATGTAAAGCAAAGCGTGACCTCCTTGTTGAGTTGCCATCAACCATCTCCTGCCTTGCGCTTTACTGCACGCTCTCTGTCTCACTCTTCGTCCGCTTCTGCCTCCATCAACCTTCATGCCGTTTAGCCACCAAGTGCCTTTGAAAATTGATTACAAATCGTAGTGGAGTTTCGATGAGACACCTTTTTTCCTGAAGTGGTCCTCATTGCAGTTTCAGCCGACCCTTCTCCTCCGTTCCCACCTCACCCTGAATGGGTGGCTCGGCCACCTTTCCCCACCCCACCCCACCCCACCCCACCCCACCGTACCCCACCCTGACCCACCATTCCCCACCGTTCCCCACCCTGCTCCATCCCACTTCAGGTACTTGGGGCTCTGGCACTACACTGAACCAGACATCTTCATTGCAGGAGAGGTGAGGCACCTGGGGTGGCCGCTGGTAGGGTATAGCACCTGGGGTGGTAGGGTATAGCACCTGGGGTGGTAGGGTATAGCACCTGGGGTGGTAGGGTATAGCACCTGGGGTGGTAGGGTATAGCACCTGGGGTGGTAGGGTATAGCACCTGGGGTGGTAGGGTATAGCACCTGGGGTGGTAGGGTATAGCACCTGGGGTGGTAGGGTATAGCACCTGGGGTGGTAGGGTATAGCACGTGTGCTTGCATCTGTTGTTGCTTCCTGTGAACTGAATACCTCCTGTCTTTCTCACAATTGCCAGTGCCTGGTACAGCACACAGTTCGCTGTACCAGTGGAGGGACCTGTCTTGTGGATTAGCCTGCTTCTGCTGCTGCTGCTGCTGCCGCTGCTGCTGCTACGTCTACACCCAATGGGTGGCCCCTGCCCCCTCTCCACCTCTCCACCGCATCATACCGCTTTGTCTCCACCTCTCTGTCTGCTGCTCCCCAATCATCCCCCCCGTTTCACCACCAGGGCCTGGTCTCCTGGACTGCCTGCTGCTACTTCGTCTACACCCAATGGGTGCCCACTGTGGCCCGCACCTTTGCTGCCTCGCTGTCTCACACCACCTCACACCACTTCTTACCTGTCTGCTTGCTGTTATCCTGTTATCCCCCCTCCTCCCCTCCCGACCAGGGCCTTGTCTCCTGGACTGCCTGCTGCTACTTCGTCTACACCCAATGGGTGGCCCCTGCCCCCTCTCCACCACCTCACACTGTTTCGTGTCTACCTCTTTGTCTGCTGCTCTTTACTTGCCATCCCTCCTCCCCTCCCCTTTCACCACCAGGGCCTTGTCTCCTGGACTACCTACTGCTATTTCCTCTACACCCAATGGGTGGCCACTGTGGCTCCTGCTTCCCACCACCTCACACCGCTCTGTACCTGCCTGCTTCCTTATGCACCCCCCAATACAGGGCCTTGTCTCATGGACTGCCTGGTGCTACTTCTTCTATACCCAGTGGGTGGCAACTGTGGCTCGCACCTTTGCTGCCTCACTGTCTCCCAACAGCCCTGCGCTGGACGAGCTAAAATGGTAGTATATATGTAGTATCTATCTTGTACAGGGCGTAATGCGATCTTTTTACTGATATATGGACATTTATGTAGCATTCGGAATGTATTCCGGTACTGAAAACGGCAAGACTTGTTCTAGCCTAACAAATGCTACTATGCTACACCCTATTCAATACACGTCCAAAACATAATTTCCTTATTTAGGTATGCACGCACTGTAGAAAGCACATGGTCCAAAACATAATTTCCTTATTTAGGTACGCACGTCTGACGTACACCTCCCGCCGTGTCAGCTCTCGGTCTAATTGGTCAGAAACTGCTAAACCAATACCACGGCCTACTTATAAACAAGCCAACACGACGTTATGCTTGCTTTGCTTTAGAGTCGTCTCACAAGCATCTCATTATGCGTGCCTCTTTACAAAGTTAAATACCTCTGTAAGGCGAACATACATCTCCTGCCATGTTGGCACATGCACCTTGCAGGCCTGGCTGTCCACTATGGACCTGCCACACGGGGTTACATGCCATGCCATGCCATGCCATGCCATGCCATGCCATGCCATGCCATGCCATGCCATACATGGTTACATGTCATGACATGCCGTGCCGTACGTGTTACATGGCGTGCCATACGTGTTACATGCCATGCCATGTATCGCATTAGCAGCTGGGAAGCCGTTTCTGAGCCAACTCAATAATCACCTCTTTCTTCCCACCTACCTCAATAATCACCTCTTTCTTCCCACCTACCTCAATAATCACCTCTTTCTTCCCACCTACCTCAATAATCACCTCTTTCTTCCCACCTACCTCCATACCACCCACCTTTCTCCCCATCTACCTCCATACCACCCACCTTTCTCCCCATCTACCTCCATACCACCCACCTTTCTCCCCATCTACCTCCATACCACCCACCTTTCTCCCCATCTACCTCCATACCACCCACCTTTCTCCCCATCTACCTCCATACCACCCACCTTTCTCCCCACCTGCCTCCATACCACCCACCTTTCTCCCCATCTACCTCCATACCACCCACCTTTCTCCCCATCTACCTCCATACCACCCACCTTTCTCCCCATCTACCTCCATACCACCCACCTTTCTCCCCACCTGCCTCCACCCCACCCACCTTTCTCCCCACCTGCTTCCATTCCACCCACCTGTGTCGGTCCAAAAAGCCCCTGTATTGCTGAAGCATTTGAGAAACCACCTCCTAAGTCAAACCGAAACTCACCTCGTTCTCCCCACCTGCCTCCACCCCACCCACCTATCTCCCCACCTGCTTCCACCCCACCCACCTTTCTCCCCACCTGCTTCCATTCCACCCACCTGTGTCGGTCCAAAAATCCCCTGTATTGCTGAAGCATTTGAGAAACCACCTCCTAAGTCAAACCGAAACTCACCTCGTTCTCCCCACCTGCCTCCACCCCACCCACCTTTCTCCCCACCTTTCTCCCCACCTGCTTCCACCCCACCCACCTATCTCCCCACCTGCTTCCACCCCACCCACCTATCTCCCCACCTGCTTCCACCCCACCCACCTATCTCCCCACCTGCTTCCACCCCACCCACCTTTCTCCCCACCTGCTTCCATTCCACCCACCTGTGTCGGTCCAAAAAGCCCCTGTATTGCTGAAGCATTTGAGAAACCACCTCCTAAGTCAAACCGAAACTCACCTCGTTCTCCCCACCTGCCTCCACCCCACCCACCTATCTCCCCACCTGCTTCCACCCCACCCACCTATCTCCCCACCTGCTTCCACCCCACCCACCTATCTCCCCACCTGCTTCCATTCCACCCACCTGTGTCGGTCCAAAAAGCCCCTGTATTGCTGAAGCATTTGAGAAACCACCTCCTAAGTCAAACCGAAACTCACCTCGTTCTCCCCACCTGCTTCCATTCCACCCACCTGTGTCGGTCCAAAAAGCCCCTGTATTGCTGAAGCATTTGAGAAACCACCTCCTAAGTCAAACCGAAACTCACCTCGTTCTCCCCACCTGCCTCCACCCCACCCACCTTTCTCCCCACCTGCTTCCACCCCACCCACCTTTCTCCCCACCTTTCTCCCCACCTGCTTCCACCCCACCCACCTTTCTCCCCACCTTTCTCCCCACCTGCTTCCACCCCACCCACCTTTCTCCCCACCTTTCTCCCCACCTTTCTCCCCACCTGCTTCCACCCCACCCACCTTTCTCCCCACCTGCTTACACTCCACCCACCTGTGCTGGTCCAAAAAGTCCCTGTATTTCTGAAGCACCTGCGAAACCACCGCGTCTCGCACGCTTGCCCGCGCATCGGCATTCCCAATGCTCCACGTGCTCTGTTGCCCCTGAATGGCATCCAGAAGGGTGTGAAACGCCGGCTTGGTGAAGGCTTGAGCGTTGCCTTGATGACCCCACAGCACTGGCGCCACCTGGTTGGTGGGTGGGTGGGTGGGTGGGTGGGTGGGTGGGGGGTTAAGGGTATGCCTGACGCACTTTTGGCATTCCCTATGCTCCACGTGCTCTGCTGCGTCTGAATGGCATCCAGAAGGGTGTGAAACGCCGCAAGCTGCTTCGTGAAGGCTTGAGCGTTGCCTTGATGACCCCACAGCACTGGTGCCACCTGGTTGGTGGGTGGGTGGGTGGGTGGGTGGGTGGGGCATGACATTGGGTGTGCTTCGTGAAGGCTTGAGCGTTGCCTTGATGACCCCACAGCACTGGCGCCACCTGAAAGGTGGGGGGGGTTGAGGGTTCGCAATACGCTTTTAATGCTCCACCCGCTGTGGTGCTGACTGGAAAGCATTTAGGCGGGAGGAGGGGTGGTAGTAGCAACTAGAAGGTGGACGGAGGAGTGATATCACAGAAGGCTGTGAGACGCCTGAAGCTGCCTGATCAAGGGCTGTACTCCCCCCCTCCCCCCCGCTGATCAAGGGCTGTACTCCCCACCTTGGCTCACCCACCTTGGCTCACCCACCTTGGCTCACCCACCTTGGCTCACTCACCTTGTGTCACTCACTTGGCTCACTCACCTTGTCTCCCTCCCTCCCCCACCCTCCCCCCCGCTGATCCGACAGAATGGTGGGCACCTGGTGGGAGTGTTGGTTGGGAGCCGAGCATGGCGATGCCGCTTGGCTGGCTGGTTGCATGGCTCACCCACCTTGGCTCACCCACCTTGGCTCACCCACCTTGGCTCACCCACCTTGGCTCACCCACCTTGGCTTACCCACCTTGTCCCACCCACCTTGTCCCACCCACCTTAGCTCACTCACCTTCTCCCACTCACCTTCTCTCACTCACCTTCTCTCACTCACCTTCTCTCACTCACCTTCTCTCACTCACCTTCTCTCACTCACCTTCTCTCAATCACCTCGTCCCTAGCACACCGAATGTATGTGCCTTGATGTCTTAAAAGCTCCTAAGCGTTGAGTTGATCCAAAAGTCTCAGATTCACTCACCCTGTCCGTTACACACACCTTGGCTCACAATGTACTCACCTCGGCTCACTCACCTCGGCTCACTCACCTGGCTCACTCACCTCGGCTCACTCTCCTTGGCTCACTCACCTTGGCTCACTCACCTTGGCTCACTCACCTTGGCTCACTCACCTCGGCTCACTCACCTTGGCTCACTCACCTTGGCTCACTCACCTCGGCTCACTCACCTTGGCTCACTCACCTCGGCTCACTCACCTCGGCTCACTCACCTTGGCTCACTCACCTCGGCTCACTCACCTTGGCTCACTCACCTCGGCTCACTCACCTTGGCTCACTCACCTTGGCTCACTCACCTCGGCTCACTCACCTTGGCTCACTCACCTTGGCTCACTCACCTTGGCTCACTCACCTCGGCTCACTCACCTTGGCTCACTCACCTCGGCTCACTCACCTGCACTCCTGGCTCACTCACCTTGGCTCACTCACCTTGGCTCACTCACCTCGGCTCACTCACCTTGGCTCACTCACCTCGGCTCACTCACCTTGGCTCACTCACCTCGGCTCACTCACCTTGGCTCACTCACCTCGGCTCACTCACCTCGGCTCACTCACCTTGGCTCACTCACCTCGGCTCACTCACCTTGGCTCACTCACCTCGGCTCACTCACCTTGGCTCACTCACCTTGGCTCACTCACCTCGGCTCACTCACCTTGGCTCACTCACCTTGGCTCACTCACCTTGGCTCACTCACCTTGGCTCACTCACCTTGGCTCACTCACCTTGGCTCACTCACCTTGGCTCACTCACCTTGTCCCTGATGCACTGAGTGTACGTGTCTCGATGTCTCAACAGCTCCTTTGCAACCTCGTTCAACCAAGCCTGCCCAAGAACCTCCGTCACGCGCGGTTCGTCATGCCTGTCAGTCACTCACAGACACCAAAAAACACGCATGAGAGAGCACATTGGAAAGCCCTTGGTCCAAAAGCTCCTTCGCAGTCTCGTTCAACCAGGCCTGCCAGTCACTCACAACCCTAAACCCTAAACCCTGAGAACCTCCTTCACGTGTGGCTCGTCATGCCTGTCAGTCACTCACAGTCACATCAAACACGCGTAAGCAAGGTGCATTCTGAGGCGCTTCAACACTAGATCTCTCAACAGCTCCTTTGCAGTCTCGTTCAACCAAGCCTGCCCAAGAACCTCCTTCACGTGTGGCTCCTCATGCCTGTCAGTCACTCACAGTCACATCAAACACGCGTAAAAAGAAAGTAGCATTTTGAGTCGACTCAGAATTCACGTGCTGCTGCTGGTCATGCCTGTCAGTGACTCACAGACAATGTAACACGCATGAGAGAGCACTTTGGGATGATTTTGCAGGCGTCTAGTTTTGGGGCGCCTCAAAACTAGACGCCTCAAAAGTATGTGTCTCACTAACAAGAGCAATGCCTGTCAGTCGCTCACAGACATTGAAGAACGCATGAGAGAGCACAATGGAGAGCACTTCAATATGCGTACATTTAAATGCACATTCAAATGCACTTAAATGCACATTCAAATGCACACAAGAAATGTGCTGCAACCCCCACTGACTCACTCCGCCACCTTGTGCAGCATGTAAGCACAGTTGTTGAGGAGGAAAAAGGCTCGCATGCCCTCATCGCAATAAAACGCATCTCCCATGCGCTCCAGATTCGGCTTCAGAGCCGCCAGCAGCAGCTGTGATGCCACCCCCACCCGTGCTGCCCCCACCCGTGCCGCTCCCACCTCCTCGTTCCCCTCCTCCCCTCCATACACCAGCAGAAGAGTACTCAGGTACAGAGACCTGGCCAGGGTGGGGGAAGAGGGGAAGGGGAGGGACAGTTGACACAAGCATGCCCTCATCATCCCAGTAGAAAGTGTCTCCCATGCGCTCCAGATTCGGCTTCAGAGCCGCCAGCAGCAGCCGTGATGCCACTCCCACCCGTGCCGCCCCCACCTCCTCGTTCCCCTCCTCCCCTCCGTACACCAGCAGCAGCGTGCTTAGGTATAGGGACCTGGCGAGGATGGGGGGAGGGGGTTGGGGGGAAAGGAAGGCTCCAGATTTGGATTCAGAGCCGACAGCAGCAGCCGTGATGCCGGCCCCACCCGTGCCGCCCCCACCCGTGCCGCCCCCACCCGTGCCGCCCCCACCTGTGCCGCCCCCACCTCCTCGTTTCCCTCCTCGTTCCCCTCCTCCCCTCCGTACACCAGCAGCAGCGTAGATTGACCAGGTAGATGGTGAGAGGAAGCACATCCGGACTTCCATTTAGGAGGTGACTTTTGAGTCGACTCAAAAGGTGACTTCTGACTTTTGAGTCGTCTCAAAAGGTGACTTTTGACTTTTGAGTCGACTCAAAAGGTGACTTTTGACTTTTGAGTCGACTCAAAAGGGACCTGGCGAGGGTGGCGGGTGGGGGGTGAGATTGACCAGGTAGCTGGTGAGAGGAAGCACATCCGGACTTCCATTCAGGAGCATAAGGGGGCGAATAGGCGTCAGGTTTCTTGGCAGGCAAGCTAGACCAGCACTTCACACCTTAGAATCAATGCACTCTCGGGTCCAAGCAGTGAATGACGAAATTGACCAGGTAGCTCGTGAGAGGAAGCACATCTGGACTGGCTTTAAGAGCATAAGGGGGAGCATAGGGTTTCGGATCTCTAAGGTTGGCAGGCAGACTAGACCAGCACCTCACACCTTCGAATCGATGCACTCACGGGTCCAAGCAGAGAATGGCGAAGTTGACCAGGTAGCTCGTGAGAGGAAGCACATCCGGGCTGGCTTTAAGAGCACTCAGAGCATCCCGGCTTTCCCGCGTCGGAGAGAGATCAAACAGAGGAGGGGGGGGGATGAGGGAGGTGGAGGAGGAGGAAGAGAAGCGGGAGAGGGAGGAGGGGAGGTTGCGGGGTTGTTGTGCTGGGGAGGGAGGGGTGGTGAGGGGTTGTGTGGGGTTGAAATGCACTCTGAGTTGGAAGTCGGAGATGGTCCGACGCACGGCGGTGCAGAGGGAGGAGCAGATGAGGAGGAAGAGGCGCCGCACCTCCTGCCCTGCCTCCCCTGGGAACTGTTTCTCTACCTGCCACAGGGGAAATGCGACATTGGGTATGGTGAGGTGTGGTGAGGTATGGTGAGGTATGGTGAGGTTGGGAGGAGCAGATGAGGAGGAAGAGGCGCCGCACCTCTTGCCCTGACTCTGCCGTGTTACCTGTCAAAAAAGAAATGCGACAGTTGGTGAGGTATGGTGGGGTATGGTGGGGTATGGCGAAGTATGGCGCGGTATGGTGTGTTATGGTGCGGAACGGCGAGGTATGGTGAGGTATGGTGAGGTATGGTGAGGTATGGTGAGGTATGGAAGCTACCCACTCATCCACCCACCCATCCACACACCCAACCATCCGCCCACCCACCCATCCACACACCCAACCATCCGCCCACCCACCCATCCACACACCCAACCATCCACCCACCCACCCGCCCACCCTCCCCTCCCTCCCACTCACCGTTGGTCTCAGCGTCAGCAGAGCCTGCACCACATGCAGCAGCGGGAACAGGTGCTGCGGGTGCCAACACAACCCCGCTAGGGTATTATGGTTCTCACCACCCTTCCCCTCCACCCCAATCCACCCACATCCACCCTCTCACCGTTGGTCTCAGCGTCAGCAGAGCCTGCACCACATGCAGCAGCGGGAACAGGTGCTGTGGGTCCCAACACAACCCCGCTACCACACAGCCAAAGGAGTGCAGGAGCGTCAGAGAGGGCAGCACCACGCCTGCAAGGCACCGCGCTCGAGCGTTGTTGGAAGACGGTTGATTCTGCCCGATAATGGTCCGGAACAGCTCTGTCTCTGGACCAACCAGAACCAGCACCTGTCAGGACGACAAGGTGAGCCCGATGGGGAGGGTAATATCTGAGTCGACTCAAATTAAGTGAGCCAGATGAGGAGGGTAGTTTCTGAATCTACCACATGCAGGCAACAGGAGGTCTTTGTTTCCGCCTTTTTGGTGCCAAATGACAAAGGTAATTCTGTTTTTTCTTATGTAAATATGTATATGTATGTATGTATGTATGTATGTATGTATGTATGTATGTATGTATGTATGTATGTATGTATGTATGTATGTATGTATGTATGTATGTATGTATGCGTGCATGCATGCATGCATCCATTGTCTTTGAGGCGCCTCAGAACAAGCCTCAAAACCCACAATATGGGTTTTGAGACGTGTCAAAATCAGAACCCACGTTATGCACCCATAGTTTCAAGAGGGGATCTCGCTCTTCCCATGCCAGCGCAGCCACCTCGTCGGATCCCAATGCTGCTGCGCTGCCACCACTGAGTCGCGTTACGCACTGCAGGAGAGCAGCCGAGCGGTGCTGCCTGTGGGGGAGCGAGGGGAGGTGAAGGTTGGGGGGAGGAGAGGGGGTGAAGGTGAGGGAATTGTTACTTGAGTTGCTTGCCACCTCATAGGGTTGCAATGCTGCTGTGCTGCTGCTTAGTCCTGTGACGCACAGCAGGAGAGCAGCCGAGCGGTGCTGCCTGTGGGGGAGAGGAGGGAGGGGATGAGAGGAGGGGATGAAGAAAAAAACAAACCTTACTCATACAATGAAGCGCAATCGAATCTTACACGTTCTTTGAAGGACAATCAGATCTTACTCGTACAGTGAAGGGCAATCGAATCGTGGAGGGCAATCGAATCGTGGAGGGCAATCGAATCGTGGAGGGCAATCGAATCGTGGAGGGCAATCGAATCGTGAAGGGCAATCGAATCGTGGGTTTAGGGTCAATCGAATCTTACTCGTACAGCGAGAGGCACGCGGACTCATATCCATTGTCCAGCATCCAAGCAGCCATGGGCCGAAGCTGCGTCACAGCCTCGGACCGAAGCAGAGGCACGGACGGCAGCACCTCACCAGGCATCTTGCCTGCGGCTGATTGGAGCAGATATTCCCGATCCGGAATTATGCTGTGGGTGGGGAGGAGAGTAGAGGAGAGGCAAGTGGGGTGGGGCGATTTTTTAGTCGACTCAAAAAAACTTTTCGCCTGCTGCTGATTGGAGCAGATATTCCCGATCCGGTATTGTGCTGTGGGTGGGAAGGAGGGGAAGGTGGGGTGAGGGTGGGGGTGGAGGAGTTTCAAGGAGAGTCAGCAAAAGAAGCAGATACCGCCGATTGGGTATACCGTATTATGCTGTGGTTTAGGGAGGAGAGGCAGGTGGGGCGGGGATGGAGGATTTTCTAAGAGAATCTACAAACAACGCGGAGGCGTAGCCTCTCCCTCAGCCCACCTCGCACCAGATAATACCTCCCATCTCAGCCCACCTTGCACCGCGCTGCACCTCCCCCAGCCAACCTTCAACCGCACAGCATCTCCCTCAGCCCACCTTCCACCGCACAGCACCTCCCCAAACTCCTCTCCGAGTCGCCCCACAGCAACGTCCATCAGCACTCTTCCCTGCCGCAGCTCCAATCGGCAGCTGCCCAGATATTTGTGCGCTTCGAAGAACCGCAGCGCGTCGGATAGCTTTTCGAGTGTCTTCAGGTACGCGCCTATGCGGTTCTTAGGGCCGAGTTCGAGTTCTGGCGCCACCTGATTGGTCGGGACGGAGGGGGGAGACAAAGAAAAGTGTGAAATTTTATATATGCTGTGAATTCCCCCAAAACCGCTTAGCAGGAACCTTAAAAACTCGTATTTACTAAGCTGATTGCACTGTTGGTGCCTAATAAAGCGTACCAATGTGGGCGTGTCAAGCTTTTCTAGGAGCAATCGTGGGTCTTGTTTAGCCACATTTCTGACGAAACCCCTGTTACCAGCACCACCCGTTTCGCTATCCGTTCTGGCCATCGCCACACTTTCCCCGCGCCACCCGTCAGCGCCATCATCATTGCGGGTGCGCAACATACCTGCTCCCGCAGCAACGGCGGTGAACCCACTGTGATACTAAATTAGAGCGGACATCGAGCAGAAAAAGGCGGGAAAATCACACAATCAAGTTCGGACGGTACTAGCCTGTGCTGTCGTCTAATTTGAGATTATTCTGGAATCCGGCTACCGCTGCCCGGAACTCCTGATCAATTGAAGGGGGATGACCAGCTGCGCATTGTGAACATCATCAAATAACGTTCCCAGTCTCACACACTCGGTGTGCTACAGTCTGGCGTGCTCTGACTAGCGACCAGACAACAGAGTGTATGGGGATTGACGGCGGGGGCGCAACGAGCTGTGGTCGCCTGCCGGTCCGAAACTTGCGAAAGGCGTCAACAAGGTTTCGTCGATCAGGCGAGGTGTAACACGGTTTTGGATTTGAAGGCGAAGTCGGTGCTAGGATATCGAGCTGGAGGAGGGGGAGGGATGGGGAGGTGGGGGGGGGAGGGAAGGGGGCGGCTGAGTTTCCAGTTTTGTAATACTGTAAGATATTATAAATTTCAATACAGCACACCCAAACGGAAGACCTTCCTAACGCCAAATTTCCTACCGAGTATTTATGCTTGTCTCCCACCATCTGCAAATCCACGTGCAAATTCGCATGAGTGCGAGGCTCTGCATCCGTGCGTGATCCTGCATGAATGTGTTCAGGTGATTGCTCGCACCCAGAGCGAGATTCGAGAGCTTTTCGATGCGGTGGGGCGTGTTGTTTGGAGTTCTGTAGATTTTCGATGGTATTCGAGAGTTTCTATTCGCGAACAGTAAACGAGAGCTTTCTGATGCGGTGGGGTGTGTGTTTTGGCGTGCCAGAACGGTGAAATGTTTTCTTGAATATCGGCCATTTTCAGGTGCATGCAACTTAGTCGGGAAAAGCTGCTCAGGTGCATGCTATCCCGTCGTGTTTCTCCCTCTGTTGTTACTGTTTGTACACCTCCACCACGACAATCACTGTTCTGTCAGGGGGTGCTACCCATGCGACTGACACCAACTGGCGCAGCTCTCGCACGAACTCGTCGTCCAACCACACCAGTCGCAGCCTTACTGCGAACAAGGTCAATACATATCGCAACACGCCTGACTAAAAACGGGCAAAAAATTAAAACCCAATTGGAAACGCATGCGACTCGGGAGGAATCAACCCTAAACACCAGGGCGGTTCCCTTGTTTAGGGTTGATATCTTCCGAAATTAATGAGTCCAGGTTCCCTAGTTTTTTTCTTTCCACTGCCTTACGGGAAAGAAAACTAGGGTTGATCCGTCCCGAACAATGTCCAGGTTCCCAAGGAGTTGTATTTTTCCTTTTCGGGCTTCCTTGCCAGGAAGATTTTGTGTGTTGCGTGTGTTGCGTGTGCTGCTTGTGTTGCGCGGGTTGCATCCCCTGACAGAACAGTGTGTTTAGTGGCGGATGTGTACAAACAGTGGCAACAGAGGGAGAAACACGACGGGATAGCATGCACCTGAGCAGCTTTTCCCGACTAAGTTGCATGCACCTGAAAATGGTCGCTTGAATATTTGGTTTGGGTTCGTTTCGGTCCTGCGAAATTTGAGGGGACGGTTACAAACTGTGTACAGTAAATATGTACAGAGCGTAGGGGAAGCGCAGATTGCTTGTACAGCTGTCTAAGCAGTAAATACAGCTGTGCAGAATTGAGTAGGCATCTGCAGCAGCATTGACAAAAAATAACTAGAGTAGGTGGAGATCCGCAACAGGTCATCTCATCGCGCTGCCAAGATGAGCGGCAGCTGGAATCCTCTGGAAGCGCCTAGTAGTGTTCTTTCGTGATGAGATCCGAGGTTCTGTTGACTTCCCCTCCCACAATCGGTCAATCCGCATAGACCCCACGGAACGATGCGATGTGAACGACAATGGTGGTCGTTCGTTCCTTTTTCTCAAAAAGTCATTGCGACCCAACCTCACTCCTCATTAGTAGCTCCTTCTGGCTTTATTCTCGGTGATGTCAGTCGGCTCAGCGGACTGCTGAGTCTTCGCCATGGGCGCGTTTCTTGGTCGGCCTCGGCCGATCAGGGCCGACGGGAAAGTCGTACTTATAACGGGGTGTTCCGAGGGCGGAATCGGTTACGCATTGGCAGTGTAAGTCTTCACTGAGCGTTTCGGAACTGCTTGCGTCACTTGTGCCGCAAAGACGCGTTTCAACGTCCTCGCGGCGAAAAATGAGACAGAAGTTAAAGCGAGAATGTTATTCTGCCGACACCGTTGCCAATCCAGGAGTTGTAATACTGAAACATCAATTCGAAGCTGGTTTTGATTACCAATTCGGTGAATTGAACCAGCGTGCGCGGGGTGTTCACTCGTCACGGTACTAAAGGTAGTGTGCGCGACGATTCTTTTAGGCGCCTCATTGATCTGTCCTGGTTCGAATTTGTAATAGTAATTCATACATCGTGTGGCAATTGCCAGAAGCGGTAAGGTCTGATGAAAGCCATGCATGCCATGATTGTTGAATGGTGTGATGAATCTCAGGGAGTACGCCCGCCGAGGGGCCACGGTGTACGCGACTGCGCGCCGATTGGAGGCCATGCGTGGGTTACAGGAGCAGGGAGTGACTGTATTGAAGCTGGATGTGACAGACGCGGAAGATATTCAGGTAAGCAAAGCATCATTGTGGGCGCCAGATGGTTATTCTGAATTATTTATTCTGCCTGATATTCAGGAGACAAAGCACAGTAATGGTCATGCATTCAATCTGCCCCATAGTGTCCGCACAATAGTTCTTGCAAATGCACATCGTTTCCTCTCTGCTCTATTCCAACTTCTGACAGCACGCAGTTGAGACAACGATGATGGAACCTGGGCAAAAAAATATTGTTGAGTCTGACTCAAAAAACACTTCCGTTTTCTCTGCGCAATTCCAACTTCTGACAGCGAGCGGCTGAGACGATCGTGAAGGATGCTGGGCGAATTGATTTTGAAGTCGACTCAAAACTCACCTCGAGAACGGATTTGTTCTCTCTGCTCTATCCCAACCCCTGACAGCATCCACTTGAGACGATCATGAAGGCAGCTGGGCGAATAGACGTGCTCGTCACGTCAACAATGCTGCTGTCCTCGCCACCCGTCCCTTGGCAGACACTCAGAATTCTCTGATTCCTCCCAACCCCTCACAGCGTGCAGTTGAAACAGTCGTGAGGGAGGCTGGGCGAATAGACGTTCTCGTCAACAATGCTGCTGTCTTTGCCACGCGTCCCTTGGCTGACACGCCACTCCCCGATTGGCGCGCGCTGTTCGAAACGAACCTGCTCGGAGCCGTTGCGATGGCCCAGGCCGTGTTGCCGCACATGGCTGAAAGGAAACAAGGACTTATTATTAACGTCTCCAGCTGCGCGGGTTTCTGCCACTTGTGAGTCTCGTTTTGGCGAGGAAGGACTAGGCAGATGATAGCTAAGTTTTCTCATGTGTTTGTGAGGTCCGAAATTGGGATGTCGTGCCATGCCATGCACTGCATCGGTTAAACCCTGTGCGAAGCCGCAGTCTTTGAAGTTCTCCACCATCCCCGCACTCATACTATTCCCTTTGTCCCTCCCTCTCCTCCTCCCTTCCCCTCCCACCCGCTCCTTCCCCTCTCCCCTCCCGTCCCTCCCCTCCTGGTGCTCCCATCACAGGCCCATGGCAGCAGCCTATTCGGCCTCAAAGGCAGCGTTGAACGCAGTGACCAACTGCATGCGCATGGAGATGACTCACCTCCTTTCCCCCCCTACTCCTCCCCGTACCATCATCCCGTGCTCCATCTCAGGCCCATGGCAGCAGCTTATTCGGCGTCCAAGGCAGCACTGAACGCAGTGACCAACTGCATGCGCATGGAGATGAAGCCCTTCGGAGTGCGTGTCATGCTGGCGGTTCCGGGATTCATCAACACCAAAATACACAGGTGATACATCCAGGGAGGGCAGGTCATGAACTTTGGATGGTTGGGGTACATCAGTTGGTGTAGCTTTTTCCTCGCTTTTATGTTTTTTTATTTTTTTTGCAGAGTCGCTGACGTTCTCTCAGCTCTGGCACTGGTCCCGGTGTCACCCCGAAATAAACCTTCCCATGCATTCTTCCCTTGTATTTTGGCCATACCGTATGTCCCACATGCCCTGCTTTCTACTCACCCCAGCAATGAGCAGCACAACAGGAAACCATTGCCATCCAACAGCTTATACAAGTCATGCGAGAGTCGGCTTAACCACCTCGCTGAGTGGGCATTAACCAACTTTGTAGGGACAAGTGCAGAAGGTTTTGCGAAGGCTACAGTGGATGTCTCATTGAAACGTGACCCTCCCTGGCGCTTCTTTATGGGAGCTGGATGGAGGCAGGCAATGTATGGCGTATGGTTTTTGCCAACCTCAGTTGTTGACATGGAATTGTGGAAACCCTATCAGGCTTGTCTTGAGGGTCCATGAACTTCCTTATAGTGCATTTTTGTTGTTGTACAATGCAAGTGTTCAGGTGTGATTGTGCCTTCAAAATAGCGTAGAACATAACGAAGCGGTGAAATTCAGTATGCTTCGGAGGCGACTAAACCGTCCGATCTGGTAACGAACGGTAGTAAGCCGTTGGATTCTTTGTATCCCTTCAAACGCGTCTGTACTGGATCTGGGGCTTGGCACTCCCACCGCTTTACAATCATATATCGTTTCGTCTCGGTTCTGGTCGGTTATACAGGCTGTGGGCTGATGGAGAAATCTAGGTTGGATTGGATGATTTCAAGGCTAACTGGAAAGCAGGAGGAGCAGGGGATCTGCGTCTCCTATTTGACCAGGATTCTTCTGAGATGTCAGATTCTAGAACATAGCGTTACTGCATGTGCTAGTTGCGCTTAGTAGCAGGTTCTAGAGTCTGGTCATTAGCTCGTCTCCTAGTTGCTGATAGTGGTGTTTCCTTTCAGTCATCGCAGTAGTAGTGTGGGGTGGTTCGTAACAATCTTTGGAGTGCACAGGTTCGATCTTGTAGGGGAAGCACCTGCGTCCATGATGGTCGAAATGCCGGCAGCCGCGTCGGATCGACGGGTTTAGCGCGATGACGATGCGACTCCTAGCATTTTCCCCACGCATCTATTCGTGTGCACTACAGATTCTAAAATTTGGCTTCCCTTTCCTTTTTCTAGAAGCCAGATCGTGCACCTGTACCTGGCGCATCAGCTTTTGAGACGTCTCAAAAGACGCATCAGCCTCATCATCTGTCTGTATCTGACATAGATTCATTACTATCACGCTTAGTTAGGCAGCATTTCTCATAATCTCGGCCATGTGACTCACTTTCTTGAAATTTCGTCACTCCTCTGAGAATCTCTCATATCCTTGCAAGGCGTTACCATCATGTACGCGCAAGGGTCACCGGGGTATCACACCCCGTACACGTCCCCCTATGCCTCCCCCTACACTTCCCCCGCCATGGGGGGGCAGCTTCCGCGTCGGCCGATCCCCATGCCTTCCGGTTCCGCGCCCGCCACCCCCTCCTCGGGGGACGCGCGCTTCGCCGCTTCTCACGGCTTCCAGTACAACGCGCGCGTCGCCACGGCGCTGCTGCCGTGCGTGCTGGTACTTCTAGGCGCCGGCGGGCCGCTCGTTGTAGGCACACTCGTCGCGGGGCTCATGATCTCCTACATCCTCGACGCGCTGCAGTTCAAAAACGGCGCTTTTGTCGCCATCTGGTGCACCTTCTTCACGACGGCGGCCGCGCTCGCGTTCTCCGGCCTCGGCTTCGCGCCGCACATCCCCGTTATAATCTCCGTGCTGATCCTCCTCACGGCGATGCACCTCGTGTTCCTCTGCGGCGTCTGGGTCTCCCTCCAATTCCGCTGGCTGCAGCTCGAGCACCCGTTTGTAGTCCTCGCGTTAGAGCGACTCCTGTTCGCGTGCACGCCCATGACAGCCATCGCTATAATCACATACGGGCTCATCGCCGCCATCGGCGCGGCCCACGCGCCGTTCTACCTCATGCCGTGCCTGTTCGCTCTCTACTGGCTCTTCTCCCTCCCGCGCGCCTCCTCCTTCAAATCCTCCAAGCACACGCTACAGCAGCAGCAGCAGCAGGCCAGGCACGGAGGCAAGGAGTCGGCCCAGGATGTGTGGATCATCGGAGCGATGGAGGGGTTGTTTCACATGATGCTCGTGCTGTTCCTGCCGTGCGGGTTCCATCTGGCGGTGCATCATAATAGGATCTTTGAGTCGGCGAATGAAGCGTGCGACACGCTGCTGCTCTTCTTCGTGCCCGTGCTCTTCGTGCTGTACGCGTCGAAGAAGGGCGCGCTCAATTGGCTCACGACTGACAAGGCCAAGCTCAAACGGGTGAGTGGATTCGATAAAGGAACGCCTTGTAACGGGTATGTGGTGCGCTGCTGCTCTTCTTTGTGCCCGTGCTCTTCGTGCTGTACGCGTCGACGAGGGGGCCGTTGAATTGGCTTACCAGTGACAAGGTCAAGCTCATTCGGCTAAGCGGAATTGTTATTGAAGCACCTAATAACGAGGACTTTGATGCTGGTGATACTCTTCTTCACCTTCTCCGCCCACCTCCTTCGCCCACGACATCCACTTCCCTCCGCCCCTCAGGTGTATATAGGGTGTTTTTGCGCCCCACAGAAACTTCCACCCACTTCCCCCGTTCCACTTGATGCCTCCCTCTTCGCTTCGCCCATTCCCCCCATTTCACTTCCCGCCTCCCACTTCCCCCCGTCCACTTCCCACTTCCCACTGTCCCCCAACCCCCTCCCCACCCTCCGCAACCTCCGCATCCCGGCCCTCCCCAACCCCCACCCCGACAGGTGCAAATTCTCAACGGGGGGTTCTCCCTGGCGGTCGTGCTCATCTGCTTCGAGATCCGCGTCATCTTCACCTCCTACGGCCATTACATTCACTTCCCGCCGCCCCTCAACTACCTGCTTGTCACGCTCGCCCTCTTTGGCCTCGGATTCGGCTTCGCCGCGCACATGATGGGCGTGCTGAGGGGTGCAGTGGGGTCCGCAGTGGTGACGACCGTGCTGCTGGTGTCTGCAGTGGCTGGGTCGCTTGTCATTGGCATGCCTGTCACGGTAAGTTCTTCGATGGGGGTGCTGAGGGGTGCAGTGCGGTCCGCAGTGGTGACCACCGTGCTGCTGGTGTCTGCTGTGGCTGGGTCGCTCGTGATTGGCATGCCTGTCACGGTAAGGCTTTTATGGGGGATGGGAAGGGAGGGGGTTTTGGCTTCGCCGCGCACATGATCGGTGTGCTGAGGGGTGCAGTGGGGTACGCAGTGGTGACGACCGTGCTGCTGGTGTCTGCTGTTGCGGGGTCGCTGGTGATTGGCATGCCTGTCACGGTGAGCCCTTGGGGGGGTGAGGAGGAGAGGGGGGAGGTTGGGTGAGGGGAAACTGTAAGCCTTTTTGTGGTGGGGAACATTGTGAGCCTTTACTTGTCGTTGGTCCTACCTGTTCCCGTTCTCCTTTGTCATTGCCGTTCCCTCCATCTCAGGTGCTTCCCGCCCCGGCCATAGCAGCAGCTTACCTCGCCCATTACTACTCCGCGGGCAGCATCACCTCCTACTTCATCTTTGCACCTTACGTATAGCCTCCCTTTTCCCCTGTGTCCCCTCTGCACCTCTTACCCCTCTGCCTCCCTGTTTTCTTGACCCCCATCTCAGGTGCTCCCCGCCCCAGCCATAGCAGCAGCTTACCTCGCCCATTACTACACCACGGGCAGTATCACCTCCTGCTTCATCTCTGCAGCGCACTCACACGCTTTCTCTCCCTTGTTCCCCTCTCCTCCTCTGTTCTGCCACTCTCTCTTCTGACTCTCTTTCTACTTTCGTCCCTCCCAGGTGCTCCCCGCCCCAGCCATAGCAGCAGCGTACCTCGCCCATTACTACTCCACAGGAAGCATCACCTCCTACTTCATCTTTGCAGCAGCCTCGTTATTAGCAGCAGCGTGGTTCGTTATGGACCAGTACTTCGCCCTCGTTATAGTCTTCGCAGGGATGACCCTCAAGGCCCTCTGCCAGGAGATGCTGCTCGCTCTGCTGCTCGCCCTGCTGGTGCCGGGAGCTGCTTTGTTCCAGAAGAGCCAGCGAGTGGTGGGAGTCATCGTGGTGGCGCAGGCTTTTCTCTTCTCCAGGTGAGCTCAAGCCGTCCCCTCCTCCCTCATTACAGTCTTCGCAAGCAGGCATGACCCTCAAGGCCCTCTGCCAGGAGATGCTCCTCACCCTGCTGCTCGCTCTCCTAGTCCCGGGAGCTGCCTTGTTTCAGAAGAGCCAGCGGGTGGTGGGGGTCATCATGGTGGCTCAGGCGTTTCTCTTCTGCAGGTGAGCTCAAGCTGTCCACTTCGCCCTCGTTATAGTCGTCGCAGGCTGGCATGAACCTCAAGGCCATCTGCCAGGAGATGCTCCTCGCCCTGCTGCTGGCTCTCCTAGTCCCGGGAGCAGCGCTCTTTCAAAAGTCCCAGCGGGTGGTGGGGGTCATCGTGGTGGCGCAGGCATTCCTGTTTTCCAGGTGAGTGTTCTGCTCTGCAGGTGGTTGTTCGGTGGGGAGATTCACTGGTATTAGAAGCTCTTTCCGCGGGCAGGCATGACCCTCAAGGCCCTCTGCCAGGAGATGCTCCTCGCCCTGCTGCTCGCTCTGCTGCTCGCCCTGCTGGTGCCGGGAGCTGCTTTGTTCCAGAAGAGCCAGCGAGTGGTGGGAGTCATCGTGGTGGCGCAGGCTTTTCTCTTCTCCAGGTGAGCTCAAGCCGTCCCCTCCTCCCTCATTACAGTCTTCGCAAGCAGGCATGACCCTCAAGGCCCTCTGCCAGGAGATCCTGCTCGCCCTGCTCCTCAGTCTCCTCGTCCCGGGAGCTGCCTTGTTCCAGAAGTCGCAGCGGGTGGTGGGGGTCATCGTGGTGGCTCAGGCATTCCTCTTCTGCAGGTGAGGCGCACCACTTGT